TCTTTGAGCATCCTAATAAAGCGCTTTATGAGTCTGATGTCATTTCTTCCTCTTGTTCCTCTCAATGTTTTTTTCTTTTTCTTTTTATGTCACTCTCATGCACTCAACCTTCTCATCACACGGGCATGTCTTTCAGCCATAAATCTCTCAACTCTATAGATCTGAATGTCTCAATTCATCCCCAGGACCATGAAGGTTCTATTGGTATCACATGTTATAGCTGAGCTGAAAATTTCACCCATTATAAATAAGATGTCAGCTCAGCCGTCGAAGTTACAGAGAACTTTTCCACGGACTCTTGCAATACTAAAAATAAATTTGAGCCATGTGTGATTTATATAGGTGCACATCTGTTTATGTGAATGTTGTGTTTATCATGTCGGCTTTAACGTCTTTATCTTGTGCTGGGGCTTTTTGGCAATAGAGATCTAAAAGTGGAATTTATTTGTGCTTTCAGAGAACCTTATGACTTCCAATTTTTGCATGTACATAGATCAATAGCTGGTTTTCACAAAAATAAAATTCATTGTCACCTTTTATAGTCGGACTGGAAATAAAGATGATCTTTTGTTTGTAAAGGATAGTAAAAGATAGTCTAAAGTGAGACGAAGAACGTTCTTCCTCAGATTGTCTGCCAGATCATAGAGGACCTGTATTTTCTTTGTATTTGTTTTCACATGTGTCTAATAGATGAATCTCACAACTGTTTCAACTACTGTTTTACGACTGGTGAAATTGAAATCAGAGATGGTTGTGCAAAGTGTTGTATTCAAAGTGTTGAGTAAAGGGGCTGAATACAAATGCAACACACACTCCTTAGGCACATCCATCCACCCATTACCTAAACGCGTTCATCTTTGCAGGATCTGGTGCCTTTCTCCAGTAGTCATCGAGGGAGATGCCGGGTACACACTGGACAGGTCACCAGTCCATCACATGGCAACACAGAGAAAGACAGGACAAAACAACCATGCATGCAAACACCAACACCTAAGGACAATTTAAAGAAACCAATTAACTAAACAGTCATGTTTCTGGACTGTGGGAGGAAGCCGGAGTACCTGGACACATGCACAGGAAGAACATGCAAACTCCATGCAGAAAGATGCATAGAGAAAGAATACCCAGGCTGCGATTCAAACCCAGGAATTTCTTGCTGGAAGGCAACAGTCCTACTAACCATTGTGTAGCATAGGTTCTTTACTAGGAAGTCATTTTGAAGCGTTTGTATCATTTTTATTCCACTTTAAATTACCCACTATCTTTTATTTTTGTTTATTATGTGTATTTCAACAAAAATCTTTCATTAGGTACCACATTTTTTCTCATTGTATCTGAAAGCACTGCCTTTAGTCTTCACTGCAGGAATGGATTGGAGTGAAAAGGCGAGAATAGTGCTCTTACTCTTCATGAATGTACAGGAAGTATGTTGACCTGTTGAAAGAAAAGTTCTCAAACGGGGTCTGCATAAAGTTAATCTTGAGGACAAGAGGTAAAACTGTGATACCATTTGGACATAATTCAGCAATTTGGTGTAAAGATGGCCATCCTGCAAATATGTTAGGGCTGTAAATCTGATGGACTGTTTATGAGCTGTGACACAATCTGCCGCATTCCTTGCCCATATATGACTCTGTGCATCGACTCCTCACCCTATTTAATGGAGCTAAAGATAGAGCTTTAGAACGTCTGCAAATATTTGCACATTACAGTATATTCTTCTAATGTGCAAATATTAGAGAAATCTAATATTTCTCTAATTTGAAAAAGTGCTGAAAAATGATTTAGGCTGAATTACACTGCTTTAATCTGTAAAATTCCTCTGTTGCACAGGCTTTTTTTTTATTGAATAATTTAAAACTAAAGAATTATTACCACATGAAGGACCAGGTCAAGCAGAATTAATTGAATCCGATAAAACGCCAATGTAAGTCAGTATGTGTGTTTTTATTACAGTTGGCATTAAAAAAACAGAAATAGAACAGAAACAGATAAGGAGAGATGGAAATTGGCTTTTTGGTCCTACTTTGTGATTAATGATGGATGTGAATAGCTACTCCAGACCATGTCAGAATCCACATGCATTCACTAGCAAATACACTCTACATGCAAGCACACACAGAGATCTATTAATGGCCTTGAATTGGAGAATCCAGATGCGATCTCAAGATAATTGTACTAAAAACACAACATTTTGACTCCCGGTCCAACATGACTTTATTCAGACTTCAGAATGTTTATTTTTACAAGTGGATTGTTTCTACAGGGACTTAAATCATGGAATAAAAGTACGCCATTGCAGGTCAATTCTAAATAGATTAAGTGTATTTTAAATGCGGCAGACTCACTCTTCTACTACTTACCTTGCACAAACCCACACAATGCTATGCTGGTTAAATGCTTGTTAAATGCAATTTAAGAGTCTGGAGCTCAGCTGCTTTGTTTATTCAAATACCTTCAGAAACTATTGCCGTTTACAGAATAGTCAGACTGTAAAAGCAAGAAATAGTACTCCTCTTTAGTCCTTGCTTCACTTAAAGATACTTCTTCATATTTTTGTTTGCCTTTTTAGGTTTTTTGGGTGACAAGTTTCTTAGTCATATTTTTACAGTAATTAATTAAAGAGGCATAGGTGTGTGCGCGTGGGTGCGTGTGTTTGTCGCTGACCGTCTGTGAGAACATTTTTACTCCTAAGTGTGTTTACAAGAGTGGGTAGACAATGTGTGTGTGTCGTAACACTGGATTTACAACATCCTGTTTGATGACAGAGACTGTAATCAAAGATCTGCTTTAAAGACACAGACTTTGCTGCACATGCTCGTCGGTCCTCTTGCGGTATATTTGTACATCTGGTTGTTTGTGTATAATGACCCTTGTTGGTGTGTTTCATCTACACCTGTAGAGAGTCATTCGCTGCTTCCCCTCTGGAACAGGATGTACACTCACAGACACACGCACACACATGCACTCTGTTAACCGGCGAGGACAGTTGAAAGATGTCATATCCTTTTTTGCCTACAGAGTCTATTACACCGCTACATGCCGGTGAGTCACAGTGATGTTCGACTAATACACCACTTAGCAGACCACTTCAAAGATGTCTGTGTCCTTTCTATGGAATCCCTGTCTAAGTTTAAGGAGCGCTAGATTAAGTGCACTTCAGTCAGCATGTTGAATGCCGAAATTGAGATCTTGAATACTCCTAAATAAAATCGGTGTGACCAGTTGGATTCAATAATCTCCGTATGGATTCTAAATAATATTATCTGCTCTGCGAAGGCCTCAGAGATTGGTCAGAAAACATAATTGAACAAACACCATGATGAAGTCCGGAAAACACGTCAGACATTTTTTGGAATAAAGTTGTGGAGAAGTTCAAATTAAGGCTAAAAAGCGTTATTCCCAGTTTGGAACATGTCCTTCAGCACTGTTCAGTTCATCATTGTGAAACAGAAAAAATACAGCAACCCTGTAAATCTGCATAGGAATAACCATTCATCTAACTCACAGACCGAACATGAAGAACAGCGAACAGAAGCAGCCAGGATGCCACTGGTAATGCCAAAGGAACTGCAGAGATCTACAGCTCAGACGGAAGAATAGTTTGACACAATGCATATAAGCTTTGCACTTCAAAATCTGGCCCTAATAAAACCGGGGCAAGAAATCCCAATTAAAGCTCTGTAGGGACAAAACAACCACGTTTTGCCCCTATGAAAGAAGATGCCGTTGTTAGAAGTCATCAAAAATTAGCTTTTGAAACAGAACCTACCAATGCGGCTGAGCGTCCACATTTACCAGTTTGGAATTACAAAAACACATTTGATTAAAAGTGTATTATGCGTTGACTCTTAAAAAGCTCCTGCTCTTTCCGAAACTTCATCTTCAGGAAGTCATCACAACCTTTTAACAGGGTTTTGTTTTTTTTTAACCAGCGTTTCACTAGAGTTTCATATAATGAGCTCAGCAGATTCCCAGGTCCACCAGGTGTTTGCTACTGGTGAGTCTGTTGAAGCTGAGGAGGGAGGGGGCGCTCTGTGAAGCGGAAGTTTGGATACTTCTAAGGAGGTGGGGCTCCTCGGAGGTGGAGCACCACCAACCAGGTTCAACCAGGCGTTTTGCACAATTGAATAGTTGCCATGGGAGATTTCTCAAACATGCACGAAAGAATCAAGGCGACACTTCAGTTATGTTTTTGTTGAGGGAATAACATCATAATATGATATAAAGCTAAAAAAGTTGATTTTACATAATACTGCTCCTTTAATGGAAACATACCAATTTTGAAAAGTACATTTTTGCTCTAGAATGAGGTGGTTTTGCAGCTGAATCAAATTTAGTGTACTTTGCAAAATTGCAATGGAAACACTATTTTCACATCACAAGTCATGTGATCAGTAAACAGATGTTACTACTGGTGGAAAAGACAAGGAAGACAACAGGAAGTGGCAGTATGATGATGGCATGGCATGTTTTTTCATGCCTTATCACCTGGACAAATGTATTCACTTGTGATTGCAATTGTGTTATTTAATGGAAATGCCACAATAGCGAAATTGTGTTTTTATTTATTTATTTATTTTAACATTAGCGGAATATCGACAAAGTTTTGAGCACATTTGTAATGGAAATGCAGCTAATATATAACACCCCAAACACACCAATATGGACAGAAGAAAGCTTTTATGTCCTCTTTAGTCTGTAGAGTCAATTACGCTGTTACATGCCGGTGAGTCACAGTGAGGTACCACTAATTTACCTCTTAGCACACCACTTCAAAGGTGTCTGTATCTTTTCAGTGGAATCTGTTGAGGTCTGGAATGAGGGTGGTTGACATCTTTATACGCACTAAAAAATTCAGCTTCAGTATGTTTTTTTTTTTTTTTTACACTTTTGTATTTATTGCTGTAATTTCATTGGAGTTCATAACCAAGAATTAATGTTGATACTGTTCTCAGTTACTCAGTGCATACTTCCTTGTGTTTTTCTCACCATGTCAGGCAGCAGGCGTTGCTGGCAGCCATCAGTGAGAAAGATGCTAATATTGCCCTTCTGGAATTATCTTCTTCCAAACGCAAGAAAGCCCAGGAGGAGGTGATGGCTCTGAAAAGGGAGAAGGACAGACTCATGCACCAGCTCAAACAGCAGGTACTATCTCCACACAAAGCAATAAAGTTATCCATTCATCCTTTGAAAAGAATAATCTTTTGTCCAGACAGTTAACTTTTCCATACAGAGGGACAGCTTTGTAGATCTACAGAGGGACAGTTCTGGGCTTAAGAATCAAAGCGGGGCTACAAATTAAATCCTGCTGCCTATTGCGGGGCATTGTTTGAATTACAGATGCCTCATGGCAAAACTTTTGAACTTAAAACTGGGAACAGATAGAAGTTAATAACTTGTAGTAGCCACAGTTGCTGCATTTAATCACCATATACCAAAGGAAGAAAACCAGATTTTGGAATCCAAACCCAGGCACATTATCACATCATGGAACCTATTCTCTAAACAGGCATGTTGCAATCAGTTACTGGATACACTCTAGTCGCAGACGAGTGTCATTGTTGAGTCACTGCCGGACTGTTTTTGTCTGAGGCCTGCTGGCTAAACAGACATAAGTCAGGCAGACATACACCTATGCACACACACACCTTGCTATTTTCCATGCTGCTTTGGTTCTCGACATAACCTCAGGCTCAGGAAGGTATGTGGGTCATTAAGATCTGGTCAGACCGCATCACTGACTGATCAAACATGAATGCTAACGATAATGAGCTAACAGCAGGGCGTCTACATGTACGGCCTCCTGAGTCACTGGAGGCTTCTGGGAAAAATAAGGGGTTTAAAAGTCAACAGATGCAGTGACTGGATGTGGATATAAGTGCAAACCTAGGTTTGCATCTTGTAAACAGTTCCTTGGGGGTGCAGCTCCATTCAAGGTATTTCAAGGAAAGCCAATTATCTGTTTATCACCATTTGATGCGTCATGTTTTCCTATTGGGTAACTAGCAGTTAAAGTCCACCTGATGATGTGATGAGAAGCTCTAGTTTCAGTGATGTGGCTTCTGGGTTTGGAACACCAGACGAATGTGACAAACTTGCACGACAGAAAAAAAGGCAGAACATAATAAACTTTCCATCCTTCTTGTGCTTGCAGAGTAGATTTATGGAAACATCCTGAGACATGTATTAATCTTGCATTAAAACTTTATGTTTACACATCATAAGATAAGGTTGTAAAATATATTTCAAAAATTTCATGTTAACTCAACCAAAATGCAGAAGCGGAGTGCATACTTTTGGATACTTTTGAAATTAGGAGGGTAAATGACAACCAGGTGTTGCTAATCGAATGCATTTGCTGAACTGATCATGAGCAGAAGTGATTTTCTCCATAAAAGTAGTTTTGACATTTTGTGGTCTGGACAATTTTGGATGTGCCTGTTAGCACATTACAAAGAAAGTGAGACATAAGTGCTAATGTTACAGAAGCAGTAGTTCCTCCTTTGCAATCTGGAAGGTCTTATAAGCCAAATTCCTAACTTTTTGGAGTTCATCAGGACCGATGTTTCCAGAAGTCTGTATCCTACCAAAGTTATGCTGGTCGGATCATGTAATGTTCAGGAAAAATAGCAATCTATTGAGACCTGTAGAACCAGAACTCTGCATCAT